TAATAGGTTAAACCATATGAAATTGCTCCAGTGAATTATCAGCAATTTCATATGTCTCAACTTAATATAATGAGCAAAGCTAAAATACCCTGCCTCTCCAAAGGCACAGAAATTAGAAATACAGGCAGACCCTATGAATCAATTTCATTCTTGTCTTTAAGTCAAATTTGTACTAAATCAGAACAGTTAGTTACAGTTTGTATCTAACGTCAATTAGTCAAATATTTGTCTTAGTATATTGTATGTAGTGTACCTTTCTATAGGAGCTGTAGTGGTGCAGTGGTTAAGTGCTTGGCTGCTAACGGAAAGGTTGGTGGTTTGAACCCAGCTGCTCCATAGGAGAAAGTCTGTTTCTGTAAAGATTTATAGCCTTGGAAACCCTATGGGACAGTTCTACTCTGTCCTATAGGGTTGCTGAGTCAGAAATGACTCCATGGCAATGGGCTTGGTTTTTTGGTTTTGGTACCTTTCTATGCATCAGAAACGTGAAAGAAACACTTACGGATACACTTTAACACCTTTAACTAATAATACAGTAATAACAAGTGCCTAAGGCACTTGACTGCTAACCAGAAGGCTGGCGGTTCAAACCTACCAGCCACTCCTTGGAAGAAAGGTTGGGCAATCTACTTCTGTAGTGATACTGCCTCAGAAACCGAAGGAGGGGTCAGTATGAGTCGGGTCCGACTTGACAGCACATAACAACAGCAGCAAAACAATAGTGTTTTGATGCCTGTACTAATAATACAGTAATAACATGTGTTTTGATGACTTGTCGCAGACTAGCACTCATTTGTTATTGCTAAAATTATTTTACAACACACATTTTAACTCCAAAAACCACTAGTAACCCACTAACTCCACATTCTTCACTGACGAAATATGCACATCAGGTCTTGGGACTGTCAAGAAAAACAAACAAACTTCTCAAAACAGTGCTGTAAAAGGAGCATTGACATACCTGGAGAGCAACAGTTTACCCCGAAGCTGCAGGTCAGCGGCACAATCCTCCGAACGGCAATTCCTTTCAAAAACGGTCTGTGAGAGAGACACAACAGGAAGATTGGAATAGGACTTGGAGGGCAAGTGTGTAAACAACAGCGAATTTACCTTCTTGCAATTCAGGAAATTTTTCTCCTATGCCCTTTAAGCCTTCTAAAAGAAGCCAGCTCTCCAGTATTGTGAGGGGTCCTGAAGATCCAAGGAAACCCAAATCAATGGTGGCCTTACTTTCATGAGTGTATTCTTTAAAAAGGCTTTGGTGGTGCAATGGTTAAGTGCTCAACTGCTAACCAAAAGATTGGTGGTTCAAATACAACCAGTGCCTCCACGGAAGAAAGACCTGGCAATCCTCTGTAAAGATTTTAGCCTAAAAAGCCCTCTAGGGCAGTTCTACTCTGTCACATGGGGTAGTTATGAGTCAGAACTGACTTCATGGTACCTAACATCAACATGCTTTATTTGGTTAATTTCTTAGTCCACTGAAGTGCTTTTTCAAGTAGTTTTTTCAAGATGGGTACACAGTAGGTGTCTTTTCAGTATTTGCTTGTCTGGGAATGCCTTTTAGATGGTCTCAGATGTGAATGAACTATAATCCAGTTGAGTAAAGAACTCTTAGGTTATAGTCTGATCATTTCCCTCTATTTGCTCTCTTGGGGAAGGGAGAAAATCTACATGTAAGATTGGTTCTACCTCAGTGACAGGACTATATTCTAATTTTCAGTTCCAAAAGGAAAGGCCTATGGTGATCAGGCTATAACAATTAAGAGTACCTTGACAGGGCCAAAGTTCCCCAACCCCCCATGTCTAGCTGGAACAGCCAGCATCTAATAGGGACACAGCATCCTCTTTCTAACTGAGGCTGAACCCCTCAACAGCTAAAGCCCCACCCAATGCTGGGGCATGATACTCCATGTGCCAGAACCCAACATTTTTCCAGAGGGCTATGGAAATGTGCCTGAGCTTGGACATGTCTGTGGAGGTCAGCGTGGGAATAAGAAGTGACATCTGGGGAAGGGTGATAGCTTTCTTTTCTCTTTGGTACATGGTGGGCTTCAGTTCTTCCCTCATCTGGTCTCAACTTCTTGAACATTTCTGATCTGTGAATGGCAGCTTCTCTATGTTCCAGACTGACACAGACTCTGTTATTATCAGACAATTTTGATCATTTCAGTGAGATTTGGAAAGAAGAGGCTTTTGTCTTTCTTAAATTATTATGTATTCACTATTAAACTTCTTTATGGTCAGTGTTCATGTTTGTAATTTTTCTCTCCACAGAATATAGTTCCAGGTGATCTGTTCCCCTCCCACAGAATAACTCCAGGAGGCTTTTCTGAGCGCCAACACACACTCCAGCAAACTTGCTGGCCAACAAACAGTCTAGACCCAACCAGACGGAGTAATTTTGCCTATGGAAATTCAGATCCCTGTGCCACATTTCCAAAAGAATAAAGTGTCCCAGCCAGCATTCTCTTCTTTGATTATGGGGGAAAAGTCTTATGGAAGTATTGGGCAAAAAGAGGAAATTCACATGTTCTTTTGGACACTACTGGGGGCAAGGATAGAGCCAAATTTCCAGATTTCAATATAAGACATTTGTGCTTTACGTGCCAATTCAACCAAGGAGAAAATAGGAGGAAGTGGGTGTAAGGACTGCACGAATGTCTAAGGGGAGATGAAAGGAAGGCATTATGAGTTTTAGAAAGGAGGTGACTAACACCAAAGGTAATGAAACTTAAGCTTGAGGGCCCCTCATGGCATGGCTTGCGTCCAGGTCTTATACTTAACTTTGCATCAGTAATCATACTTTTTATTTTTTCCATGAAAAGAGCTCCTTTCCCAAATTGTATAAGCTTCAGGCCTCACAAAATTTAGTTCTGCACCTGAGTTATGGTTTCACCCTCACATGCATCACTGTTGTTCATGTTTTACAGGCAAGAGACATCCAGTGGACCTTAGAGATGGGATGAAGGGTGGGGATAGAGACAGGTGAAAACTGAAGAAAAGGGTGTGACCTGAATCCATCACATGGCAAATGGGATGGGGAAAGCTGACCCCTGCTTCCTCATCTTTCATGCTAGCCATGCCTCAGACTTGCCTTGTAACTTCCCACCTCAGGATATCTCTGAATGTCCCCACTCCCAGGTTCACCTAGCTCATGTCCTCTCATGCTTTAATGAGCAATTAAAAATACCAAGGCCCCTGGTAAGCTCAGATCCTGCTGTAAATTTTTTTATGTTCCAGTGTGAAAAAGAAAATTTATTACTTTTCTAACAGTCTGTTATACATCTGCTGATGCCCTTGGAGCAGATGTTTTTGGGCTGGAGCCTTCTGATCCTTCTGAGCTTTTGCAGGCCCAGCCTTCTGGCCTGCAGCCTTCTCCTTCTGGGCAGGAGCCTTCTTGCCTGCAGTGGTCACCTTGATGCTGGAACCTTTGCAGCAGTTGTTGTTACAGCTGTGGCAGCCCCCTTCACAGCATTTGCTTTTTGGGGATTGTGGTGGTTAAGTTTGTGTGTCAACTTGGCTGGCCTGCTTGAGTGGCTGGGCAGCTGGATGTAGTATTATTCCCCATGATGAGACTGGTAATCAACTCCATGGAGTAATCTACTGTGAGCAGCTGAGTAGCTGCTTTAGGGATGTGGTCTGCTTCCTGTGTATAAGGAGAAGCTTTGGGAATGGTCTCTAGCTTATGGCATGCTTGAACCCTGCATGTAGCCATGTTGTTATTCAGCAGTCTGCCATGCTCTGCCGATCTTGGGACTTTCAATGGACTTGAATTAATGGCCTGCCGTGTGGTTTGGTAACATCAAGACTGTGCCATTTTGTCGACCTTGGGCTTGTCAGCCTCAGCAGCCAGTAGCTGCCTAGTGAAGAGATGCCTCTAGCTTCAGTGGGCCAGGAGCAAGAGGCAGAGCTGAAGCCAAGGTAGAGGGGCTTTCACCCAGCCCCTAGAACCTGTACTTTGAACTCAGACTTAAAGGCTCCAAACTCTAACAGAATAAACTTCTGTTTGTTAAGGCCATCCCACTTGTAGTATATTCTTGTCAGAGCAGCACTAGGTAAGCAGAAAAGGGGGTGAAGCCTTCAGGTGAGTTGCTCTTCAGAGCTTCTTAACTTCATACTTTATTAGTCTGTCCCTCAGTTTCTTTGCCTTCATCACTTTAAAATGAACAAAATCTGTCATCTTGGCTTTTTTCCCTCTGGCTTCAATCTTTCTGGCCCAACCTGTGCCTGCAATTTTGTGTTAAATCTGCCTTTCTGCCACACCTGTTGGACATAGCTCTGGAGGGACATACCTCTCTGTAGGAACTTGAGGATAAAGTCAGTGAGTTGCATGAATTTGAAAAGCATGCCCTGCCTCCTTATTTGAGTGCAAAGTCCATCAACCAAAACCCTGTTCTGATCTATAACATCTACAATCGATCCTAACTGGTTTCCCAGCATGAAACCCAAAGGAGACATGTCTGAATACTCTGTTGGTGGTGTTCAGCAAGAAGGCTGCTGTAAATTCTTAAAGTACCATACACTTTCTCGTTCTGTGGCTCATCTCAATTGTAATCAATCACTATTATTGCATGTTTAATGCTTTTCTCTCCTCTAAAATTATGCTCCATAAGAGCAGAGACTGTACCAGTCCTGTTCACCTCTGTAGCCACCTTCAGAGCCTGGCACGTGGATAATAGCTACTCAGTCAACACTGAAAGAGCACATAGTGCTCTAAGAGGTGGGCTGACCAATGAAATGGGCACTCAGTGGTGGAGGTCCCATCTTAGGGCCACTGCCCATTAAATCCAAAGTTGTATCAACCCCTCCTTCCCAATCAAAGCACCTGTCCCTCTGCTACATGCAAGCACAAAGGTCCCTAATGAAGAACCAGTTGCTTGGTAAAAGCTCATTATCTTTGGTCTGATTTTCCCTTGTACTCTTTCTATTTCCTGTCCCTGGAACTGGGTTATCTAGCTATTAACTTCTCTAGTACTGCTCAATTTCCATCTGACAAAAGCAAGCACTGAATCATATATGTATGTATAAGTGAGGGGCCCTGGTGGCACACTGGTTAAAAGCACTCAGCTGCTAACCAAAAGATTGACAGTTCAAACCCACACCAGCCGCTCCATGAGAGAAGATGAGGCAGTCTGCTTCTGTAAAGATTTACAGCCTTGGAAACCCTATGGCACAATTCTACTTTGTCCTATAGAGTCACTATGAGTCAGAATCAACTCAATGGCAATAGATGTTGGTTATCTGTATATACATCCACACACATATACATATACACATATATTTATGCTAAAGAGGCAAGGAGGCCACATCTTCTGGCCTCCTCTAATACTACAAGAGGAAGACAGAATCACCATCAGTAGCCCAAGGCCTATTCCTGCAAGGCCAGACATGCTGCCTACCTCTAGCCCTTTCACCAACCATTTCTCCCACAGCACTCACCACCTTTCCACTGGGTTTGATAATTCACTGAAGTGACCAAACAGAATTCACAGATTATGGGGTTTATTAGGGAAGCAACAGACTACAATTCAAGTTCAACAATGCACTCAGTCTCTTGCAGCTGGCCATCTCACTCAGCAGCTGGCAGTCTCAGTAGCACATCACTCCTCAGCAGCACTTGTCTCTCTCATGTCTCTCAGGAGCACATTTCTCTCAGCAGCACATCTTTCTCAGCCAGCAGTCAGAGAGAATCCTTCTGCCTCTATGAGGGCTCCTTTTGAGCCTAGCAGAGTGGCCAAACCAACCATTCTCAACAATAGAATTCTATACACCTGAGAGAGAGCGAACTTCCCAGAAAACTAGTTTGTGCTGCTCCCAACAGAAATACCCCAGGTGGATCACTTTAAAAATCAGGAGCTACTCAGTTCCTCACAGCAAATTTCACCAGGGAGTTTATAAAGACTTATGGCTAGAAAAGCCACACTATGTAATTTAGACTGCAATTTACTACACACACATACACACACTCATATAGTTACATGCACATACACATACATACACTGCTGTGAGTGTTTACACTGACCAGCTAAAATAAA